TAATACAGATGAAACCAACAGCTCTGTCCATGATATACATAACCATTTAAATAACGAAACGAGTCGGAACGAGATTAATATCATTGGCGATAGCTTACTTGAGACAAACGAAAATGTTGATAATACTATCTGGGATATGCCAACTACTGACAACTTCTATTATACTGTCTCCCATTCGGGAAATTTGAATGAAGGTAATATCTTCGTGACTTATGCTTTTTTTAGACTATTGATACCATTAGTTTGTAGACGATGTAATTAGTAAAGATGACGAAAATATGAACTACGAAGATGATATTTCGGGTTTCCTTGATAACGATGTATACGATAAATATTTCGCTTTGTTTACTAGATACAAATCTCGTATTGCTGAATGTTTCAAAATAAATTTAAATGACAAAAATCAAGAAGAGCTCACTGTGCTGGAAAATAAGGACCTTCAAATAAAACAACAACTGGCAACCTCAAACATAAGCAATGCTGATGAAGAAATTTTGCGCACGTTAATGAACGAGTATATAACATTGCTTAGTCCTGGTAAGTTTTTTTTGTAAGGCCAGCCATATTGTAAATTTATGACTTCCCACTAATGCAACGTAGATAACAGATTGCTTATGTCTAAATACCAAGGCAAAAAGTTGATCAAGCAGCTTTGTCCCATAGTTCCAATGGGGTATAGAACATGTGAAAACGGTTGCACCCTTTTTACAGATGGGATCGATTCTTGTAAAAACACAAAATGCAGGGTTCATCATGAAGGTAAAACAATAATGTTTCCATTACACCAACAGATTGCGATGCTTTTCAAGTGCAATGAACGTAGAAGACAATTATTATACCGTACAAATCGCGCTGAATCACACGAGGAGTTGCAAGATATATTTGATGGAAATGCTTACAAAAGTCTGAAAACAAGTCTCTTTCAAAATCCGTATGACATAGCTATTGGTCTATGCGTGGATGGGTTTGCACCCTTTAAACGAAATGGAAGGTCAATGACTTTAATAATGGCAGTTATTTATAACTTTCCACCAGAGATAAGGTATCATTATCCCGGTATAGTTATCCGCTATAATTATTGAAAGACTGATATGTGCACATTTAGATATAAAAAAGAAAATCTATTGATCTTGGGTGTGACTCCTGGACCAAAAAAGGCGGATATATTCAGCTATCTGACTCCTTTAATTAAGGAACTGTTAGTTTTAGAATCTAAGGGAATGATAATTATCAATGAAAATACCAGTTACAAGATTAACGTTCACGTTTTAAATTGTATTGGAGACATTCCGGGTCAGGCCGAATTATGCTTAAGCTCATCCCATACTAGCAAATATGGCTGTAGAATATGCCCTATGGAAGGGGTCAGTCACCAAAAAGACTCAGAAGACCAGAGCACTATGAAAAAAGTAGGAATGTTCATTCCCCCGCCTCAAAATATGTCTGAAATGCCACCGCTAAGAACCATCGAGGAATACAAACTGGCTAACAATGTAAGATATACTTGGTTATTGCATTAATAAGTGACTTAATATTTGTGGAAATTATATTTAGCGTGAAGGACTCAAAAATCCGTCGCCATTTACCATTCTTAAGTCATTCCATGGGCCAATGTTTTACAGTATAGACGAGCTACATCTTTTTGGTCATAATATTGCCAGGCAAATATGGCAAGTAATTGAAAATAACAACTATAAATACGGGAGGAAAAATATCTTGTTCTTGCAGAAGCGATTTAGAGTTGAATTAGGCTCGCATATGGCAAAGCTACAGATCTCTGAGTCAAAAATGCTGACAGGCAAATTTATCGGTAAGCGAACATGGCATATTTATAAGTAAGTATAAATTATAATTAATGATATTGTGTAGATATATCTTGTAAATCTGGATATAGCAGAGGTGTCGACTGGATACAATTTCTATTATATGTTGTGCCTACCATCTTGCCAGAAATGTATGAAAAGCAACGCCCTGGTACACGTTTTAATGAAGAGAACTTAAGTATAAAAAAAGCGTTAAGTAGAATATCAAGAGCTTGCTTTTTATGCTTAAAAAAATCGATCTCACATCTAGACGTTGAAGAGATAGAAAAGTACGTGTACATATCTTTAGTCTTTGATACATATACAGTACTAAATATTTATCAAGTTGTATTATTGAATGGCAATACTTTTTAAAAGTTAATTTCTCTCAAAACATCAATGTTTTTACTATCAATCAACATTATCTAAATCATGTCGCTGATACGATCAGAGAGTTAGGGCCCATGCGTTATACCAGCGCGAGGTGTTTAGAAAGGAGCATTGGAATGATAAAGAGTTCAATCAGATCATCATCGAAGCCGTCTGAATGCATCAATAACTTTGTGGCTGAGGACATACAGGCGAAATATACTAAAACAGCTAACATTCAACTGGAAGATAAATTTGAATCAGGATCATGCTACTTAAAACAGAAGACCTGCAATCTAAAAGATATTATTGGGAACAACGCATATAAAAAAAGAGCTGCTTTTGAGTATTACGGCCAAGATTTTGATATGAATATGCTGGTTACTTTGTTTGGAGGATACAAACGATTACAAGATTCTCGACAATTAAGGATAAATATAAATCAATCGGGTAGTTCAAGAATAGTTACTTTCGATGGGGCCACTGAAAAAAAAGTTGGTGTGGTGTACAGCATTTGGAGATCTAACGAGACAACGATATTCCTTGTTAGAGAGATCCCTTTTACAACTGATTCACATAATCACATAAAAATATGTCGAACTTTGGACACTACCGAGAGGCTAATAGATCAGGTTGCGTACAATTATCGAATCATTCCCGAAAAAGAAGTATCTTGTTCCGTAATTTTAATCCAAAGCCTACTCAAATATGATCAATCGTTTATTCTTGATGCCCTTCACTAGTTTTGTATAATTCGTCGAATATACAGTATGCATTAACTATGATTAACCTGTTGTAATACATATAGCACAGTACCTTGCAAAAGTTAAAGCCTTTAGTAGATTTCCATATTTTTGGCTCTAATTATCATTTGAACAATATATACCATCAATATTTTTTTTTATACAGCCTCAAAAAAAACATATAAGTAAAGAACGTATGAGAGACATATATTTTGTGTCCTTTTGAAAGCGATCATAATATTACTATTACTTTTATGTCCCTGGTCATCAAATTCTCATATCACACATGTTCTTTTTGCGGCCGACATAGAATTTCTATTTTATTAAATTATTTTTTGTGCTCCTCCATAAAAGAGACTTATTTTTTATGTCGCTTGACAAAAATGACAACAAAAAGACATCAAAATACCATAATACGACATATCGGACATAATGTTTTTTGCTGTGATACTTTGAAATGAACTAGGTAACGCTAAAACTTTTATAAATACTACTTCTTTCAACTTATGCTATAAATAAAACTTCTTCCTGAACGTGCGTATTGGTTTGCAAACAACTATGGTTATCTGTTCGATTATAGATCTCTGTAAATATTATATCGTAGATGGCTAATTGATATGATTCTAAAACTGTTATAACAAGGCCTGGCACTGTTGCTGTCTGACGTTTTGCCTGTTGACACCATGATCTGTTTATTTCATATATCTGATTGTCTTGTATCGGATCGCCTTTGTTGTGTTTTAAGGTAAAGTAACATTATAAAAGGACTAAAGGAGTACTTTGAGACTGTTTGTAAGATTTTCCTGTATTAATAAGTGGAATATATCAGTATTTATATAAAAGACTGTCTGCCGTGACCATATCTCTAGTGCTATAGTGAATTTATCATCGATTACCCAAAAATGTATGCTATTATTACATAGTCATTAATTTAGTCTTGTTGTAATACATGTTGAGTCTTCTTAACTCTCTTAGCTTACCATCACAGAAGGGAAGGCGAGAATTACCATTGATTGGCCAAAATAATGTTAAACATGAAATTGCGTTAATTATTAAATTCTTACTCATCAGAGCTTAATATATAAAGTAGAGTACTTAACAATTGAATACCTCTTAATAAAGATTTTAAAGATCCAGTGCTTTTTTTCGAAAACGGACATTATAATAATAATAACAAGAACGTGAAAAAAACAGAACGAAGCCCATATAAAATTCGTCACTACCATCCAAGACGGATTTTCTTTTAGCTTTATTAAATACACCAGCACTAGAACCAGTCTCCAAAGTACTGATACCATTAGAGCAGCATTGTACTAAACAAAAACATCGTAGAATCAAAAATGAGTGACATGTTTGGAATAAAAATGTTTCAGCGAAAGGTTATAGAAAAAAAGAGTTTAGCTTCTTACAACAGTGATAACAGCTTATATATTTTCTATATAGCGCTGTTAACCGGAGCAATAACTTAATAACAACAAAAACAGAAAAATAAAAATGTTTTGAAAGTCTCCCTATGAATCAGTAGATGATGTCATTACACAAAATACGAGAATCTCAAACAGTTACGATACTTTGGAGGGCGCTGTATTTACGTTTTTGAAATCCAACGCACGTTTAAGGATGTTCTGATATGATTTGGGACTTACCTTATATGTGAAACTAACTAAGATAATCCCATACAAGCTTGGAATGCTTGAACCATTCTTGAACCGTTTCTAATTGCTTATAATCTATTTCGGTTGTTAGTTAAATGTAATCAGCGAACCCGTAAGTGTCGGATCTGTAGTGATAACGTACCAGAATTCCCTAAAGTATCGCATAAAAACAGATAACGGACCGGAGTGCCCTGAATTCAATGGATTTTGAGGGATAACGGACCGGAGTACCCTAAAGTCAACGGATTTTGAGGGATAACGGACCGGAGTACACTGAAATCAACGGAGTTTGAGGGATAACGGACCAGAGTACCGAAAACTATTGGATCTTGACGGATAACGGACCAGAATTCTCAGATTTGTATGATTTAGGGCCCTCACAAGCAACAAAATTATTTTTTTAAAGATCCCGATTTAGGACTTTATTATTATATTTTTTTTTTTTTTTTTGTGAAAGGTTACAATTTTGCCAAATAGATGAATAAAAAATAAATGGATATATAGGCGATTAACAATAACATCGAATTTTCTCCAGTGCCTAAATTTTCGAAATATCCCAATAAAGGATTAAAATCCAACGACCCCAGAATCCTTCTATCAGATGAAAAATCAGCCAAATTGGGCTACTGAACTCACCAATGTTTCTGTTTTTTTTTTTTTGATAAAAGAGTTGTGTTTGTGATCCTCTTCATTTTTCTTTACCAATTTTTAACTATCCAATTTTATTTAACAAAATGCCTTTCCAAAAGTACACTACCATCGTCATATGGGATTCAGCAAGCACCAACGTTTTGATCGAGTTGTTTTCCGATTACGTTGTAAACGTGGGTGTTATTCGCTCACCTCAAGCAAAGCTGAATTTGAACTAGGCAACGGAAGATGCTTTTAATGCCGGTGACGCTATCAACGGTAGAAGGGACTTTGCAGCGATGAATAACAAGTGGATTCGCCTCTGTGATACGTTCAGAACCAGACGAGACGATGCTAATTCTACTGGTAGTGCACCTCTTCAACACTGGGAGTTTCACGATCTGATGGAACAGGCAACATCGAGAATGCAATAAAACTGTAGTGGAGACTTTGTTGTCGGTAAAGTGTAGAAATATTTGATTCCATAATCATATTCATATCATCATTAAGTCCAAATTAAATTTATTGCGATTCAGCAACTACTGTAACAATTTGAGATAGGTTCATTTTGTTTTCTCTAGAAATAAAAAGTATATCGAAACAATAGAGTCCTTGAAAAATAATAACAGATAGGTTAGCATTTTGATTGAACTTTATATTTTAATCGTTCAAAAAGGGTCATTAAAAAGCAACGTCATTGATTTTGGAAAAAGCTTTCTTTTGGAAGTCTGAAGTAACCTTTCACAAAAAAAAAAAAAAAATAATAAAGTCCTTAATCGGGACCTTTAAAAAAATAATCTTGTTGATTGTGAGGGCCCTTAGGCTGCTGAGATGAAACAAAATATATGGAGATCTTAAATAGGAGATGTACTAATATGGACAAGCTCCGTTTTTTTTTTAAAAAATGTTTTTTTATCAATATTTTTTTCCTAAATTGAATTCTGTCAAAAATAATGTTGCCATATTTTTTATCATTAATCTGCTGGTTTAAAATGAAAAATCTGTTGGCATCGAATATGAAGCCTCCAGAAATAAACGGTCCTAAAATAGACTACTAAAATGCCAAAATACGAAATGAAATTTTATTACTGTTTCCTTACCTTCATTTTTTTAAAATGAACAATCAATACAACAACAACAACCTTATCAATCACCAATTTGTTGAAGTCACACCGAATGGTGTAGCCTATGGTAGCAACCGTCGCATGCTACTACGGCTTCAGAAGAACAGGAGGTTCCTGTCATCGTTCCTGCTGCACCTGCTACTGCTGATGCCACGGATGCTGCTGCCACTATTAAGTTTCAGATACTAGATACAATCGCTCAAACTGGAATTTAGCTAGCACCTTTACTCTGATTGAATTGTATACTGTTTACAAAAAGCGGTTGCAGTCCCATCGCAATCTAGCTGAACGAAATGAATTGTACCGTGCCATGTGGCACTCATTCAAGACCAACAGCAGCACCGAAGGAAGAAAACCTTTGCGTCCATTGAAGTCTAAGGGGTCTGCTCTCTGTCTGACTTTAGACAGCGCAATGATAGGTTGAATACAACTCGTACGGCACCGATTGAAAACTGGGCCTACCATGATGCGTTGGAGAACGCCACCAGTGAGATGCCCACCGTAACCCCAACCACTATGTATACTTCTCTTGCTGGAGAGACGATAGATGATCGTGGTGAAGTTGTAGTGCTAGACGACGAAGAGCCGTCAAAAACGATGGTGCCGAGAAGGGGGTTGCTCGTGGGGCTGCCAGTTGAGGTAGAGCGGTCAACCAAACGATCGAGCATCTGGTAACCTCAATGAACGAGGTTGAGGCACGTCGTTTTGAGCATGGACAGCCGGAGCGTAGAATGTTCTCTGGATATCTTGCTCTTTCGACAACGTTTTTTGGTCAGATGTTGAAGTCCATGGAGAAACGGGACCAGGTGCAGTCTCGCATCGCAGAGTAGATGCAGGCCAGTCTGGATATCTATCGCCAGATGCTGATGGTAATGAGGGGATTTCGGCTTAAGAAACAACAAGGCCACCAGAAACAATGCGTTCTGAAATCGTGGTTACCATTACTCCAACAACACCAGCCACTACTTCCGCCCTGATGTCAATAGGGGGTGCCAAACATTAAAAAAATTATTTCCTTAATTTCTAAAAAACATTCCCGGGAATTTTTCTCCAGTCAAATTCCCTAAACTTTGCGGGAACGATTTTTTGTGCCCGAGATTTTGCGGGCAAGAAAAAGTATTCCCCAGAAATCTCGGGAAAGAATACTCATTTTCTATTCGTTGTTGAGAAGGAAATATGACGTAAAAATGTAACATTTTATTTATTTTATGCTAATCTAAAAGCATCAAATCGCATCTGCGTTTGTATTATAAAGTTTTTCTAAGTTTTTAACTTACCTTTTTTCTCCTTAACTTTCTCTAAAACGTATAGAGTGCATCTGCTTTTCAGTAGTTCCTAACGTGTTTTGTGACATTTTTGAGCATTCATCTCCGACTAGTACAAGTAATATAAAAGGAAATTTATTCATAGCCAGATTTTTTTTATGTGGGGGGGGATTTTTTTTTTTTTTTTGAAGAAAATTTTTCAGTGGAAGTAATATTGGGCCACCGGCTGCGATTTCATAGGCCGGCTCTAAACAGCTTCAGATCAATATTTCAAGCCTTTCAATACATAAATTATTTTTAAAAAGGGTCACGCATCTTAAGAGTATACTTTAATATATATTCTAAATTACAAGTGATTCCACTTATTACATAAAAAAGGTTTAAACTTTTTTACCCTTTTTCAAGGTTGATGATATTGAGCCTCCGGCTGCGATTTCATAGGCTGTCTCTAAACAACTTCAAATCAATATTTCAAGCCTTTCAATAGATATACTAATTTTAAAAAGGGTCACGCATCTTAAGAATATACTTTATAATATATATTTTAAATTACAAGTGGTTCTACTTAGTACATAAAAAAGGTTTAAACTTTTTTATCCTTTTTCAGGGTTTGTGATATTAAGCCTCCGGCTGCGATTTCATAGGCTGTCTCTAAACAACTTCAAATCAATATTTCCAACCTTTCAATAGATAAATTATTTTTAAAAAGGGTCACGCATCTTAAGAATATTTGTTTTAATGTATATTTTAAAATTCAAGTAGTTCTACTAAGTACACAAAAAAGGTTGAAGTTATTTCAAGCCATTGCTAACGATTATATAGTCTGTGCGCGGTTTTTTAAATCGTGAGCACAAACAGTGGGTTATTTCAAAATCCGACCACGGCTAATGATATTAGCGGCAGGTTATTATTGGCTCTAAAACCTTTTTGTACAGGTTGTGACATTTTTTCCCCGCCCCCACCTAAAAAAAAAATGTTGAATCCAGAATCTGTTATGTTTTTTAATTTAATATATGTAGATTCTCATTCTAATCAACATAAAAAACAATCCTAACCTTTCAGATGGGATATTAATTATAAAGAAAATGTGTTTTACCCATCTAAAAATTTGTCTCTGCTTAAATTTTTTTTAGGTACCACCTAAAAGCAGATGCACTCTAATCTAAAATGTCTGATCAAATAAACAGAAACACTGGTGGCGGTCCTTCCAACAACGATTCCGCAGATAAAAGCCTTGATAGAACCAAAACTACACCTGGTCAAATTAAGGCTACGATTGGTTTCTTTGAGAGTAATCAAGACCTTTTTAAGATATATCTTGGTGGACAAAAGTCGTCCGTTCCTTCAGCTGGTAGTCAGATAAAAAAAAGAGAGATCATTGAGAGATTGATTCAGCAACTTCTGGCGGATGACGTAATTCCGTCTTCCTGGAATTTCAAATCGGTTGGAAAACGTTTTGAACGCCAACTCGCAAAGTATCGCAATGTAGAAAGAGATATGAACTCTACCGGTTTTGACTTGACTACAGATGACATTAAACGTGGACTGACCTCCATCGAGATCAAGTGTGAACATTTGTGTATTGGATTTTCTCGTTTGGCTGCTCTGCATGGTGCTAGACCAATCATAACTCCTTATTGTGTGGCTTTCCATGGTGCTCCTGGTGGTACCGAGTACACATACTACAACAGAGTAAGGCCATCATTAGCTGCAATTGTGGCACAAACGTCTGCAGTTTTTGGTGGTCAACAAGAGGCGATTGAAGAGGTCAGTCGATTGTTAGTTCGAAGTGATGCAGCTGAATCTTCAAAAAGAATATCTGCTTCTCTTTCCTCTGGTGCTCCTTTGGCTGCTGATGTTCCTTTGGCTTCTGGTGCTCCTTTGGCTGCTGGTGCTCCTTTGGCTGCTGGTGCTCCTTTGGCTGCTGGTGCTCCTTTGGCTGCTGGTGCTCCTTTGGCTGCTGGTGCTCCTTTGGCTGCTGGTGCTCCTTTGGCTGCTGGTGCTCCTTTGGCTGCTGGTGCTCCTTTGGCTGCTGGTGCTCCTTTGGCTGCTCGTGCTCCTTTGGCTGCTGGTGCTTCGCTTTCCTCTGGTGCTCCTTTTGCTGCTAGGTCTTTGTCTGCTGCACCTGTGTCTACTGAGCGTTCTTCCTCTTTCCCTTTTTCTTCTGTTGGGCCATTCTCAAACGAACCTCTCTCTTTCCCTCGTCCTGCTTTTGGTGAAGCTTCGTCTGGGCAGCCGTCATCTGTAGAAGTACCAGCTACCAATGTAGCTTCTTCTCGTCTGTTGGCTCCATCTAATACCACCTTAAGTCGAAAAGAACTGACAAAACTATTAAAATTTATTGAACTGAAAACACTGGAAGGGGGGTAGTTTAAGTAAAATTTACACTGACAATATTAATGAATTTCAATGCTATTCTCATCACATTCAGTTCAATGCGTTAACTTATTTAAACAGACAGAATTTATTGTATTCAGTTCATAGATTTCAACGTATTTTTAATATTATTCAAATCATTTATTCATTCAAATTTTTTTGGGGTAAAATGATACTTTTTTATTATTATTATTTTTGTCGAAATACTTTATTCAAATCACAATGATGAACAACAAAGCTGAATTTACTCAGTACCTTAAATACTATTTAGCACTAAGATTCCTACTATACATTATGCTTACCTTCTTTATTCTGGTTTTTCTAAAAAAAAAACTAATTGTCATTACCCGTACTCTCCTGTATAGAAACATATTATTAAAAGATACATTAACTAAATCAACATTTGCTTAATACCTGTTGTTGCTCTTGTTGATCATTCTCTTGCTCTTCAGTTTCTGTTGATGAGCTACATAATTACAATGCATTAGTTACGTATTTAAAACATGTATTAGGACATTATACCTCATGTATTTCTCCTTGTTCTGGTAACACCTTTTAACTAGATATAACGCGACCCAATCCTCTTCGCAAAGTGATAAATCCACGTCCATTTCTAATACTCTTGCGTTTAAAATATCAATGATCTCTCGACGATAACATGGTAGAACTTGACTCCACGACGGAGGATGGTTTTTGTAAGTAACGCTTATGAGTGACTTCACCCTATAATATGCACAGCTTCTTATGGTTTCATAAATATGAGCAGTATCTTGTACGTCCGGGTTCAGTAGGGATAGAGCTTGCAATATGTCACGTTTTAACAATTTGCGTTTTTTCAACTTTCCATCTGGCCCTGTCACTGTTGGTACTGGTATTTTACTTCGGCTTTCCCTTGCTGTCGCATTACTGGTTAAGTTTTCAGTTTCATGATTACTAGTCATCTGTTTTTGCATGGCTTCCAATCCATTTGTGTTTTGGCGCAACATCTCCTGAATCTGACAAAAATCTTGTTGCAAAGCGATTACCATCTCATTATTCTTGACCAATATGTTTTCCAACGAGCTTATCTTTTCTAAGACTTCCGAATCTTTGGATTTTTTGGGTGGCATCTGTTTTTTTTTTGGAACACGAAATAAGAGGTTTTATAAATCAAACAAAAAATTTTTTTTTTAAACCTAATGTGACTGCTAAATCTTGTTGGCGGATCACCTTAAGTTTTACATTCATAAAATAAAATACGTTTCACTTTATTCCCAAGTTGTCAATGCCATTTGAATGTAAAATCTGCTATAAACAAGTGCGGGACGAAAACCGTGCAGTTCATTTCCGTGAACATGAAAAAAAAAGAAGCGAGGAAGAAATAAATATTATACATAGCCGCATCAAGGCTGGGCGTTTGAAGCGAAAGCGAGTGTCTTCTGAAAGTGTTCACCAGTCTGGGGAAGCATCCGTGACAATCACGACGACACCAACGCCAGCAACAAAAACAACAACAACAACAGCATTACCAACAAAAAAACCAACAACAATTACATCGGCAGAAATAACAGGGCAATGCATAAGTAGAACAGTAACAGAAGAAACATTATCCGCAGCACCACAAACTGTAAACCATGAGAATAACGGAATTGATACCTTGCAATCCTTTGACTTTGATGATAGCAATTTTGAGGCTAATGAGAATCAAGAGGAAGGAGGATATGAAGAAGAATTAGTCTATTTGTATTCAGATAGTACAACTTTCACGGTTACAGACCCTAAAAGAAATCGTCTTGGTGTTGACCAAAAGAATCATGAACTTTACAAAATTTTTGAAGACGATAATATTAAACAGGGCACAATTGACAAAATTATTGCTTGGTACAATAATCAAAAGAGCAAAGGTAAGCAGAAATTGTAAAGCAAAATTGGACACTTCTCTTATAGCTTTTTTAACAGATCAGACCCCTCTTCTTTCGTACAAATCGTACAAAACAAAGGTCAAGCATGATGCACCATTCCGACCACTAGATCTTGAAACGTGTATAAACGCTTGCTACGTATTTCCGGATAAAAGTGAACTCGTGTGTCCTGAGTGCCATGAGCAAAGGTACACATTATACAATTCCACTTCTAAGCCAAGACGAACCACAAAGCAGCTGCGGATTGCACCTCAATTGGCGTCGTTGTTCACCAACTCAGATTTTCTAAAACAGTGCGAGAAACCTATCACCAGTATCATCAAAGGATCCTATATAAATCAGCTTCAGGAACAAGGCCTTTTCCAAGGAAAATATGATATTGCCTTGATCTTATTCAATGATGGTTTCCAGACACTGAACAAAGGAGGCGTAAAATTAAATACAATTCATCTTCAAATTTTAAATCTTCCAGAGACTGAGAGGTAATTGGATAGATCTACAAATTTTCTGTCTCTAACTGATAAAGACTTAAAATAGAGTTAAAAAGGAGAATATCATTGACATTGGATTTGCTCCAAAGACAAGCAACCTCACAAGCTATTTACGTTTTGCAGTCGCGGAATTAGAAGAATTAGCTATCAGAGGCATGACGGTTCACGTTAATGAGACTACATACAATCTCAAAGTATATCTTCTTGGGTCCTTTGGAGATATTCCATCAGTAGCAGAAGTAAACTATCTAAGTGGACACTCGTCATACTGGCCATGCCGGTTTTGTACTATAAAGTCCACTCGAATGAAGTATCGCATGTGTTTTGGAACCCCCGCAAATAAGACTGAAGAGCCACTTAGACTTCGAACGATTGATGAATATAAACAAGGTGATCCAAATCGTGGAATCAAGCAGCCATCTATTTTTGGAAGATTGCCATCATTTCAAAGCATTTATTTTCTGGGAATCGATGAATTTCATTTATTTGGATTGAATATCAGCACCAAAATTCGAGACTTCCTACAGTCTACTGAAAATGGTATATTGCGTTTGGCCAAGAAATACTATGAAATGCTCGGCAATAATATTTCGGATGAAGGAAGATACCTACCAAACATCTTCGAAGGCGAGCTTAAGGATGTGTTCAAGAATACCGGTCGTATCAGAGGTGTTGATTATATGATGTTTTTGAAGTACGTAGTTCCAACTCTTGTTGTAGAACAACTCGAATATCAGCAAAAGCAATGCCGTGCCATAGACCAAAAAGACACCGAGGCATTAAATACGGCCATCAAAGCGTTACAACAAATATCATTAGTATGTTCCATTGCCACCCAATATGAAATAACCGATCGTGAACTTGAAGAAATCGACAAAAATATAGACTCATGGCTATCATTTTTTCGGGACAATCTACCTGTTGAGCAGTTCAACATAAATCAACATTATCTCACTCATATCACAAGTATTATAAGAGCAATGGGACCTCTGCGACAAATTAGCTGCAGAAGTATGGAGCGACGAATCCAGAGAATGAAGAAAAAAATTAAAAGTACCCGCTTGCCTGAAAAAAACGCTGAGAATATATTTATACATGATGCTTATAACAATTATCACAAAAGAAGTTTGGGCACTGATGTTTATAATGAATTGATGCATCCGTTCGGCAAATTCGATATTATTTCTGACGTAGACAAGTTCCAAAAGTATAATCTGTTGCTATTGTTATCACGAAAGTTGAAGACAGCATCATCAAATATTTCCAAGGAAGTCGCTTGTGCAGAAAGATTGGTTTTTTCTGAGAAATATAGATCATTTGATAGTTCGATTCTCGTTGCACATAAAAAACGTCGATTATGTCAATATGCAGTTGTGAAATCAAATGAGGCTGATAGACCATATATTGGAAAAGTGCTTATGATTTTTGAGCATGTTCATTATCAAATAACAAAGAGACTTGCACTTATACACATATACCAAAACGTTTCTGTGGGGTTAACGGGCATTCCATATTGCAATATTAGCGAAAGATGTAATAGCCACGAGATTAACCCATGTACAGTTCTAGAAGTAGTAGATGTTGAAGACCTTCTATGTACGGCAGGCGGATTAACCTCGAATTTAGAGAATATGAACAGGATATATTTCTTTTGGCCCGAAATGAGAAGAATAGATTTGCAAATAGGCGAATATGATTACTTTTCCAGCTACGCAGAGTTAAGCTTTCCATAGGTTTATTTATTTTTTCTCTTTTTTAAAATAAAGTGTTTAAGATTAAAAAGTGTCGTATTAATAAACTTCAGTGAAGCTTTTTATAAGATTAAATTATGCTGAAGTTTTTATTAAAATCAGCATCCCCGTCAACTTATTAACTTCCTGCCTTAAATCAATTAAAATAGTGTTAGCGGGAGCTGAACTATTCAACGCTTTCAGTGACCTTTTAATGGCAGTTACAATAGTCATGAAATCCATAATTTTTTGTTGAATAATTCCTGAACATCAAACATTAAATTAACGACTTTTTTGATTCATTCAGTTCTCCGATTGTTTTTTAAGTGTTTTTTCAGAATATTTTCAGAGTTTAATAGTATTTTAAGACTTTTTGGGCTTAATGTGTACCCAGCCATCAAGTCGCACACCATTATTTGAATCATCATCAGAGAATAATTTGTTCGATTCCTTTTCTTTTGATGATGCTGGGTCGTATCATGCTGTGGACCATGACAACAATGTCAAAAGTGGTAGTGCTGCTCGTGCTGGTGGTGGCGTTGCTGCTGGTGTTGCTGGTGGTGCTCGTGCTGGTGGTAGTGGTGGTCGTGTTGGTGCGGGTGCTGGTGTTGGTGGTCGTGGTTGTGCTCGTGGTCGTGCTCGTGGTCTTGCTCGTGGTCGTGGTCGTGGAGGTGTTAGTCGCGCTGGTACCGTTCAGCCTGAAATGCCAACGGCTGATCGCATCCGTGTTGGTCCCGATCACGCCATGAGCAACAAGAGGATCAAAAGAGACTTTTCATCTGAGTATCGCGAGGCTCAGTTGAGAAGGGACGACGTATTGAGGGAAAATAGTCAGAGGGAGTTCAATTTGGGTATATCTTAATTGCTTGTTA